ATTAGTATTGTATTCACTTTTGTAAATGACAAAAATAAATAAAGCATATGATCATAATAATATCATTACCGGTAAATAAGATCGATAATTATGAAGTACCCCGGTACTGCGTAAACATGACCTTGGTGTGTTACAGTGGTTAGGGTGTCAGCTTTGCATACAAAAATGTTGTGGGTTTGATTCCTGGTCGATTGCTCTCTTAATAGTGTACAAGTATGTGTACTTTCTGTCCAGACCATAGAGTATGTGGAATTGAGAGAACAGCTGGAGGATCGTGATGGTAAAGACTGTGTACTGTTCTTGTTTACAGTGCATGTTTGCATCTTTATCTTAGTTGATTTTCGCAGGGTGATTTTTTTTTTCTTTCTCATACATGTATGATGTAAAGACCCTGTAAGAGTTGGGACTCCAGATCTGTAATTGAGTTCTTTGCTTGTTGATCTGTTTGATGAATAAATTGAAATTACAGATTCATGGCAGTGACAGCAAAATATTCATTTCAGGATACCAAAACTACTTTCATGCTTGCTCAGTCTTAATAGGATTTGTTAGTTTAATTCTAATGGTTGGCATTCAGATCGCTATGGCAACTCAATGAAGGTGGGAGAATGATGTCATCATGTTAGAGATGACATTAGCTAGGCTTGGTTTGCTCCATGCATGTAAAAAATAACACAGGAATCTCGGAAAAGAAAAGCAGGTTGACAAAAGCTTTCTTTCAAAAACGAGTTCTGTGGGAGCTTTTGCATCTACTCTGTTAGTTCAAATAATAAATAAATACATAAATTAAATAATCTTTGAAATATTGTTACTCTAGATTGTAATCTTCAGCATTTTAGCATGATGACTGTATCAACAACATTTCTCTCATCCTTTCCAGGTGAATCCGACGTTTTGTCGCCGGAAGGCAACGGAATGAAAGCTGATCCCATGGACCCTCTAAGCAGTAGATTAACTGCCTTGAAAAAACAGTTAACTATTGAAATGAAAGTTAAGCAAGGTGCCGAGAACATGTTACAAATGTATGCATCGGGCTCTTCCAAAGACCGCAAAATGTTCTCCGAGGCGCAGCAGATGTTTGAGGACAGTAAAATTAAAATAGAAATAATAAGGATGCAGATACTAAAAGGGGAACAAGCACTGTCGATGGGAGAGACGGCGGCAGCGGGGCAAGAGGATTCATCAGGTATGTTGACTATATTTCAGTTGCTTAATGTCATAAAACGTTATCGAATGTAATTAATTACTCACGAAGTCATTTCATTTGAACAAACGAATAAATAAACGAAAACTTATTTATTGATTTATAATGGTTGTGATATTAAAAGAGCTTTGTTATGAAAATCACTGAAAGTTGGGGTATGAAATTTCTCTATCGCTTATTATGCACATTGCCCGTATTTGCTGTTATAACGCGAAATAGCATTTTAGAGTTACGGTAATACATGTATTAGGTTTTATTTTAGCGTAATATAATCATGATTTATTTGTGCTATATTGTCCTGGATATCAGGAGAAATAATCAATTGTTTCATTAAATCATTATGGGTCAAGTTTGCATGTAATCATAGCAACCAGTAAAAAAAATCCTTCAGTAAGTCTTTAATTATTAATGCAGCAGTAAATAAGATGAGTGTCAACATGACCTTGGTAAATTGGTTGCTTGGTTTTACTCTGCAATGGAATTCTGGAATTTATTGATTGTATTGATGTTATGAGACAAATATGGGTGTAGGTGAAATCAAAAGATTCTCAGATGGGTGTTAATATACATGTATGTGCGGAATCGAATACTGGATTGGACAGTTATACTGCCCTCTATGTCTGTAATTGACACTGCTACCTATGTATTCAGTGATAACACTAGCCCAGTGGATCGGAATTTGTGTTATACAAATTTAGCTGTTGTTTCATTTTCAATGTTTGTAAAGTTAGTTTGACGTTAGACTTTATTAAAACTAATTTGCTTAAAGAATTGCCCACGTGCTCAACATCAATGATATTTTCAGCACATCCTTCCTTCCTTCCATAGTCTATACCCATTTGGCTATTCTTGGAGGCAGCTTTTTGATTGCGATGTGTTGAAATAATAAATGCAATTTTTGGGTTATATGCACTTCCATTATAGATGCGCTTCTAATAGAACAAATATGGTAGAATAAAAATATTCACTGATTCCCTATGCAAACATACAGTGTTTTCACCAGATTTAAGACATGACAATTTTGCCTCATGGTATATTTTTTTGTCCCAGGTTTTTTACTCTCATATTAAGACAAATTGTCTCACAATGTAAGAAAATACAAGTGACAATTCATACTTGTATGTTTAGGATGAAATTCAAAAATAATAAATATTTGAGTACACTGTCTCCACTATAACGGGAACAAAATAGTTTAGTTCCACATGGATGGGTAATTGTCTTATACTTTCTATTAAACTGATGGGACAATTTCCACCTCACGTATTTAATTCCTGGTGAGGACACTGAACATAATAAAGACAGACATACTGTAAAAGGATTAATTATTCACTAGGTTTTAATTTTGCTCATTTTGCTGACTGGAAAATGCGTTAAATTAAAACCTAGTGAATATGTAAAATTTAGCATGGAACACATTATCTAAATTATAAAACCATGAATTTAAAACCCACTGGATATGCCTGAAATAGTAAATCAGCAAAATTTAAACCCAGTGAAAATTAGTCATTTTACAGTACCATAATAGTCTATGTTTATCCATTGCAGAGAACATGCAGCACCTATAATGTGTGATTTGGTAATACACTGATAACAAAGTCGGCAAACAATGATTTGTATAGTTGTTCGAGGATAGGTTGTTCCTCGTAATATATACGTAGCAATTGGGTCATTAATTTTTTATTTTCGGTCAAAGTAAACGATTTCACATTTTAAATAATGCAGCCCGAGCAATGTAAGTTGATCTAGTAACTGGTAAAATACACTTCCTTCCTCCTTGAAATCAGTTAATCCTTTTAAAATAGCTTTAAGTTTAAATTCCACTGCCTTCCAGCTTACTGCTCATATTAGACGTAACTGACCATTTGAATATCTACAGAAGCACGCGGCCTCCCAAGTGCGCGATATTTTAAATCAACATCTTTAGTTGATATGAACTTCAAGAGGCTGCAGCGATTTTATCGTTATGTATTTCTGCATTGTAGGAGCTAAAAGACAGTCAACGGAAGTACCTCTTAATCCGTTGGAATTTAGGATTGAAGAATTGAGGCACCACATGAAGGTTGAAACGGCTGTAGTAGAAGGGTGCAAAAATGTTTTGAAAACATTGCAGCGAAATAAAATTCAAGATAAAAGAGCCCTCAATGAGGTAAGATCTAAGCATTCAACTATGGTAGATCAACGGTATCAGATTTACTAGATATTACCCCTAGTTTTTACGTAATAGTGCAGTGTTTTTTTTCAGTTCCCCCTTTTCATCACAAATTCACAAAAAAAGCTTTGTTTATAGTCTGCACTTTCCTTCAGAAGATTGGAACAAAAATAGCCGAATTTTTTGAGTAAAAACTGAAAATTGACCCAAATTTTGTCTGTTTGGCTCCAAAATTAGGGTTCATATTCCAGAAATATTGGAGACGATAAAGAAAAAATTGCAGAAAAATTTGGGCAAGAAAACCTGGTTATGGGCTTTGGATAATTAAAACATGAGTATAGCAAACATAATCTCAAATATAGTTTGTTATATTTATTTTCATCTTGTAAACTATTCTTTATGTGGGGGGGGGGGGGGTGTTTAAATTTTCTATGCCCATGTTTTTTATTCATCCACAGACCCTGTAGCATGGTTGTATTACCATACTTGAATTTTCAAAAAAGCAGTAAATATTCATATGTAAATTGGCCATGCATCACCTCATCAGGCCTCTTCATCACCAGACTTTCTTGCCCAAATTGTTCTACACTTTTTTAGTCCCCATTCGGACACGTTTTGACCTCCGTGTGTCCGTCCATGCGTGCGTCTGGACCTGTATCTTAGAAATGCCTGGACCAATTACAATCAAACTTCACACATACATCATATATGATATTATACATATGCACGTCAATTTGTTTCACAATCTGATTCAAGATGGCCGAATGGCAGCCATTTTTGTGCTGAAAAATCCTAAAAATCAAGCATTTCTCGGCTGTTTACAAATGAATTTTGTTCAACTTCGATATATACATTAGACATTATGGGACCTTGATGCAAATAATTTTTATTCAAAATGGCTGACTGGCGGCCATTTTGTTTCAATGAATGTGGTTCTCGTGCCATATCTCTGACTTGCTTTCACTGATTATGTTGAAATTTTAAATATTCATTATACATCATGTCATAGATGAACAGTCACATTGGTTTGACAATCCTATTCAAAATGGCCGAATGGTGGTCATTTTTGTGCTGAAAAATCATCAAATATCAAGCATTTCTGGCATTTATGGATGGATTTCGTTCAAACTTGGTACATACATTAGACATTACGGGTTCCTGATGCACGACATTTTTTTTTTCAGATTGGGTTTAAAATTGCTGACTGGTGGCCATTTTGTTTTAATGATTGGGCTTATCGAGCCTACTCTTAAATGCTTTGACTGATTATATTCAAATTTCATATTATCGTTATACATCATGTTATATATATACATGTATTCAAAATGGCTGATTTTGGAATGCTGTTCCAGAGCAATATCTCTCAATATGGACAAGTACTTGTTTGACGATCAGATACAAATGTCAATCATTTTCATGTTAAAAAATATTAATCATATTCCTGACATGGTTATATTCCAGTTATATTACTATAACAAAACTATATATCTTAAATTTAATAACTAACGGGGACTGTGCCATGCTTGGCTTGTTCTCAAATTCTTCAATATTTCTGGAAATGAACTCTAATTTTGGGGCCAATAAACAAAATTTTAGTAAATTTTCAGTGTTAATTGGCCAGCAATAAGTACAGGCATCGACTGTTTTATAAGCACATTAATAGTTAATGTTTTGACAGTGTTAGTTTGGTTGGAAGTTATTTACTCAATCTCACATTGATCTATGGCATTTAGGTATGTGTGTAATTAGGATTTTTGGGTCAGAAATAATTTCATGAAATGAAATGATAGTAATCAAATTACAACTCTATTATACTTTGCAATACTGCTGTCTTAACCTAATAGATGCCCAGTGTGACTATGATGTTACATCTCATGACTTTTGTGAGATAACCCTGGATGAATTTTTATTGATTATTCTATTTTGGAATACATTTTTTTAAACAAATTTCACAAAGTTGAACGAGTAACTAGTAATTTGGTTGCAGATTATATTCAAATTTGAACATACATTTTAAGTGAACAAGCAGAAACCAAAGAGAAAAAAAGGGCATTAGTTTACATTGGTTTTAAAGATGCTAATATCCTTGCATGGTTCACAGGAGTTATGACATCATGAATGTAAAGTAGTAAAATTGTAGGCCTCGAGAGCGAGACACGACATCCCGGTTAATTGGTAATTGCCTTTTCTATTGTTGTGAGTAAATTGGACAATTTAACCTGTCTCACGCTTTGTCATTATTGACAATTTTGACGTAGTAGAAGTGACTGTCTTTGAAAAATCGTTATGCGAGAAAAATGCGTGAAAGGAAATACGAATGATGAGTAGATTGGTGATGATGATTTTGAAACGTATCTGATTGTAAAACTAGTCAAATATTTCCTGGCATTTGTGACTGACGGAGCATGTGTAACGGAAGCTGATCTGTTCGCATGAACAGTCGCTGACATTTTAATGAAGTTGGGTATGAGTGAATTAAAAACCTATCAACAACAACTGAACACATATCTAGTAAAGAAATAAATAAATATGAGTAAGCAAGGCCATTATGTCTTAGATTAAGTTGTGGGGATATAGTGGTTACCAGTGTCTGTCTGTCTATCTGTACATAGTTATATTTTGAAAGACTATTGCTGATATAACATTCACAGTGTTATATTGAAGACATTGTACAATAGATTTGATCAACACATTTAATGACCCTATATGGTCATGTGACCTCATTAAAAATGCATAAATGTCATATCTGGAACTCTATTTCAGAAAATAGACATGCACACAGATCTGATCAACGTATTTAATGGTCATGTGATCTCATTAAAAATGCATAATTGTCATATCTGGAACACTATTTCCGATGATGGACATTCGCACAGATCTGATCAACATATTTAATGACCCTATATGGTCATGTGACCTCATTAAAAATGCATAAATGTCACTTGTGGAATAGTATTGGAGATATAGATGTTCAGTCAATGTAAAAAAAAAAATGCCGGTGATTTTTGTTAAATATACTTGTGTGTGCCCCACTTAGTTAAGAAAGTGTAGATGTGAACAAAAGTGTAGATGTGAACAAAAGTGTAGATGTGAACAAAAGTATACATGTGAACAAAAGTGTACATGTGAACAAAAGTGTACATGTGAACAAAAGTGTACATGTGAATAAAAGTATACATGTGAACAATGTTGTCACTGTTTTCTTGGCATTCTCATAAAACGGTTCGCTAACAAAAATAAAACAGTCTGAAAATACAGGAAACGCTTGACTGCATTGGTAAATAAAATATCATGTTAGCAACGTAAATCACTAATGCTAGTCCATGTACAGAGTTTTTGATCTGACTTCCCCTTGCTCCAATTATTAGGATTGTGGTTATTATTGTCACTATGGAATGGCTGTATGTCAACATACAAAAACTGGAGCATATTAATGCAATTCAGTTTGCCTCTAGGTGGCGCTGGTGTTTGGTGTTGGCATGTTCTCCTTACACCTGGGAGGTTGTGGTTCACCTGTTCATTCAGCAGTTTAAATCTGAGTACAGTCTGCCCTGCCTGTTAGGTCTGGGAGACTGATTTGCACACATGCACTCACCATTAGCACCATAAATTAAAAAAAACAACAAAAAAAACAAATCACCTCCATTTGTTATTTATAATAATGCAGTCTGGAGTTCATACGACATAGATTTTTTCATTTCCATATTAGCAGTACTAAAACTCACATTTTCTACAATTATGTAGAGAAGGAATTCATTGTATTTATTTATTTATTTGTTTGTTTGTTGTGTTGTTTTACAGGCGCAAAATAAACTTTCAGAATCTAGTCAGAAATTAGACGTTTTGAGGCTGTCATTAGAAAGGCGGATAGACGAATTAATGCCGGGTTCTCCAAGAATAGACGAACTCCGAGATGAATTAACGATAGGTAATATGCAGGTAAGTTTTGAAGATATTTAGTTTCATGCTACTGTGCAATTATGCTTTTGAGATACAGAAACACTTTTTACAGATTAAACCCACTTAATTATATCCATATTTTTTTGAAAATGTTGAGCAAAATCTGTGGAAAATGTCCATTCGGTACAAAATTAATAAATTATAGAAAAATATAAAAAAAGTGTGGAAATTCTTGGCCCTAAAATTTGTTGTTAGGAAAACTGATGGCATTCAAAAGGATTAAAAGTGTCTTTTTTTCTCTGTATCGTAATTTTCATTTTCGTCTACAACTACATCTGCATCATTACATAATTTTATGGAAATTATATTCAAATCTTAACAATGGAATGTCAGATCAGTCGTTAACTTATCTTAACACATTGTCTTTTGTCTGACTATATTTGGAAAAATTACAATTATAAAATCTTTGATAATTTCTCAGTTCACCCATCTTTTTATGTCTCTACCATCTCCTGGTGATGAGTTCTTTAAGAAATATGAAAATATTGTTTTCCCGTTTATTTGGGGTGGGAGGAGAGACTTTGTTAAACGAAATGTACTGTACAAGTCATATGAGAAGGATGGTGTTAAACTTACTAATTTAAGAGCATTCAATAAAGCTTTGAAA